TCTTCTTTAGTTGTGCGCTCCGCTTTTGTTGGGAGCACCCGGCGTGGTTGGTCTTGCAGTGAGACAGTCGCCGGGTTAGGGGATCCTGTGCCGTATCTCCTTGCAAGGACTTGCAAGGAGAGGAAGGACCCCCACGGAGAGGGGCTTGAATGCTCATCACCGATGCAACAAGAGCCGTCCTACTTAATGATCACAACTTACTCCGGGCGCTTGCTCCGACGCGCTTGCTCCGACGCGCCTGCTCCGACGCGCAACGACGGAATCACATTCCACCACCACTCTGCAGCTCAACTCATCCGCGTAGTACAGGCGCAAGGCAGCAACACGACCACGGACAGTCCTGCACAGGCTCCAAGAGCATCCGCTCCGTCACGCTTCGATAGTGGCGCACTGCGGACCAACTCAAACCATCAGAGCTCGACCGCGATCCGCCGTCCGCCGAGACTTCATCCACTCCGTCAGCACGCGGAAGCACACCAAAATCGGCCATGCTCACCCTCATACTTTATAGTCTAAACTCGATTGCAATCCAAGCCATTCCTCTTGTCCAGTCCTCGTGTGTCCTAGTCCCAATTGCAGCACTCAACTCAGCTCCGTCCCTCTTCGGCATCACTCAACCTCGGCCCAGACCAGAAGCCCAGGCCACTGCGCCCCGTGATGACTTTGTCAGGCCGCGATTGACCTTCTGGGCTTTGCCGCTCTGTTGTTCCATGCACACGTCCACACCTTGATGATTGCACGGAGTTTCAACTGCATGTCGAACGTAGCAGGTGCAAACCGGACAGACAAGTGCGAAATGACATCCTGAGCATCTCATCCATGCGAGTCTGTTGGGATCCGAAATGAAGGCTTTATGTGACAGATTAAGCAAAACCTTCCAACTTAAAGACGGCATGACTACAGATTGGCTTTTGCGGGAGACGCCTTGGCTTCGATCTCGGCTTGGAGCAGCTTGCGAATTTCCTTTCGGAGGATCTTGCCACTGGCGCTCACGGGAACCTTGTCAAGGATGCGGATGCCCCCGCGCAAGTACTTGTGGTGCGAAACCTTGGAGCGCACAAAGGCGTCAATGTCTTGCGTGACTTTGGAAATATCTTGTTGTCCTGCTTTCAGCTCGATGAACGCGAGAGGTAGCTCGGTACCCTGGTCCTTGTCATGAATTCCCACCACAGCCGCAGCAGCAACGGCGGGATGCGAAACAAGCACTCCCTCGAGCTCAGCTGGCGCCACCTGGAATCCCTTGTATTTGATCAGCTCCTTGAGCCTGTCGACGATGCTGAACTCTCCAGTACGTGGATCAACGATGGCAATGTCGCCTGTTCGAAGATAGCCGTCTTCGGTAAAGGTGTCGGCGGTAGCCTGCTTGTTGCCATAGTATCCTTTGCAGATTTGGGGGCCGCGGACGAGCAGCTCGCCGCGTTCACCTGGGCCTAGGTTCTTACCCGTTTCGACATCGCGAATGCGACCCAGAGTGGCAGGATACAAGCAGCCGACCGAGCCGGACGCCTCGTCACCATGCAGACCGAGCGCGCCCACTGTAGTCTCGGTCATACCAAATGCTTGCTGGACGGGCACCCCTGTCTTTTTGGTGAATTGACTCTGCGTCTCAAAGTCGAGTGGTGCCGCTCCACAGAGCGACTGTTTGACGCTGCTGAAGGCTTCCGGTGTGGCGTCGGGATGCTTGGTGAGAAGAGTGAGCACGGGCGGGACCAGCGCCAGGAAGTTGACCTTGAGCTCCTTGACCAGACGACAGTAGGCCTCGGGCTGGAAAGGGCGAATGATGCTGGTGTGACCGCGCGCTCGAATCGGATAGTGGAGCATGAGGATGAGCGCATATGCGTGGAAGAACGGCAGGAAGGTCAGAGTTCGGAATTGCTCCTCCGACCCATCATCGGCTTTGGGAAAGAGTGCCGGCGTGTGGCGGAAGATCTCGATCATGTTGATGACGTTGCTATGCGAGATCTCGACGGCTTTGGGAAGCCCGGTCGTTCCGCTGCTGAACGGAAGGTATGCAGTCTCGTTGAGGTTTGCCGGTGTGTGCGCCTTGGCCTCTTGGGCCGTGAATTCGTCCACCATGAGGCTCTTGATCGAGGACACACCTCCGAAGCCTGCCACGTCGCCATCGGTGAGGATCAGCGTCTGTCCAGCGATGGCAGCTCGACTGAGTCTGCTCATGTACTTGGAGGTGACAAAGACTCGTTTGGGCTTGGTGAGGCGATAGACATGCTTGAGTTCGGTCGAAAGGTAGTCTGGGTTGGCAAGCGCGACACGCAGACCTGCGAATTGAGAGGCGAGCAACGCCACCGCAAAGTCGATGGAAGAGTAGAGATAGAGCAGGACCGTGTCGCCGGGCTTGAGCTTGCACTTGCGGATCAAGCCTATTCCGAGCCTCTGCGCAGTCAGCTTGAGCTGGCCGAGCCTGTTTCACGACAACGAAGAGGACGAGTGTGAACGGTGAGAGGGCACATTCCAGATGCTGACGAAGAGCTTGAAGAGCGACTTACGAGATGGTTCTGCCACTAGCACACTCTCTAAGCACCTCTTGAGCATCATCAAAGCCGACTGATCCTAGCAGGTACTCGAAGATGCATGACGCCGATTCGGGGCTGTAGGGTACCCGGGATGAGTAGATGCCCGCGCTGGCATCATACTCGGTGTATTGTCCGACCTTCTGCGTCATCTTCTTGGTCTATGCCCGATTCTTCAAGGTATCTGTCGTGCACGATGGTGATGAGCGGCTGCGGATAGAGGGATCGTAGCAAGCGCCTTTATCGCAGTAGCTCTAGCTTCGGGGAAATGGATTGAGGTGGCCCGTGTGAGCAAGCGGAAGGGAGCGCCGCGGAGCAAGGCCGCAGAGCCAAAAATGGGGCCCCGCGTTCTCGATTTTTGGGCAACCGAGCATGGAGCGACTCAACTGATTCGGGCTCCCCTTCCCGAACAACGGCTCTCTCTCTCTCTTGGCGGCACTCCGGCTCAGATTCTGGACCGGCAAGAAGCCGCGACTTCCAGCAGAAGCGAGAGGATCGCCGATCCAGATCTCGCTGCTCGCAAATGCATCGGAGTCAAAGCCATGCGCTGCAGCAGTCTAGGGTGGAGCTTGCTTGCGTCTCCCAGGCGCTCGCACAAGTTCCTCAAGGGATGAGCGTAGAGACGTCTGACAATCGGGTCGTGGTACACTTTAATCATACGGTGCGAGATAAAGCTGCGTTTACATGGTCAGGACGGCACGGAAGCGGGCCTTGCCGGACATCATGTGCTCGAAAGCCTCATTGGCCTTGGCGAGCGGGAAGGTCTCGCACATGCACTTGACGTCGAAGCGCTCGCCGAACTCGACTGCGTCCTCGCTGTCGAGTGCGTGACCAGAGGGCCATCCATGCACGGAGATGCCCTTGGTGATCATGGCGATGCTGTTGACAGGCACGTCACCCACAGCTGTGCACGCAGAATGGAGACAAGGCGAAAGGACGTCCGATCAAAAAGGGCAAGGTACCTCTAGGTCAGCACGGACATCCGGGACGAACCTGATTCTGCCGTATCAGCTAAGACTTACGTGCGAGGATGAGCAGCTTGCCAAGGGCGCGGCAGCCGCCGACGAGGGGCGAGATGTGTTCCGGGTTCGGAGCGGTTGCAACGATCAGGGCAGCACCGCCCAGCTTCTGCAGAGCTTCGGCGGGGTCGCCGTTGCTGGTGTCGATGTACTCGTGGGCGCCGAGCTTCATTGCGAAGTCCTTCTTGTCCGTGCCGCGAGAAAGCGCGACGGTGCGGTATCCCATCTTGCTGGCGTACTGAACCGCAAGGTGACCCAGACCACCAAGGCCCTGGATCGCCACGACCTCTCCAGGAGTGATGTTCATCTTGCGAATGCCGTTGTGAACGGTCACACCGGCACACATGATCGGGGCCATGTCGACGGCGTTACCCTCGGCCGGCAGGCGCACAGCAGCCTCTGAGCGGAGGAGGCAGTACTCGGCATCTGAAATTCGTCACAGAAGCAGATTCGAGGCGATCAGCGAAGCTGTCATCAGAGAAGAGCACCGGTACGGCACACAGATTCGAGCCAAGAATTGAGCCAAGAATTGAGCCACTTACATCCGCCGTCACGCGTGACACCGTTGATCTGGCCGTTGTCGCACATCTGGAAGAGGCCCTGGTTGCACTGACGGCAGGTGCCGTCGTGTCCTCCGTGCCAGGCGCCGCCGACGCGATCTCCCTGCTTCCACTTTGTGACGTGAGGGCCAACTTCCACGACCTTTCCGACGATCTCGTGACCCGGGATGCGAGGAAGCGGTCCAAATGCCTCCGCCTGGACGAGTGCGTCGGAATGGCATACACCGCAGGCCTCAACTTTGACGAGGATCTGTCCCTCTTCGGGGTGCTTGAGCTCAATGTCCTTGAGAACGAGAGGCTCGCCGTTCTTCTCGAAGACAGCGGCCTTGTAGGTCTTGGGCAGAGACGACATGACTGATTGGTGGAAGATCGTTGGATGCAGAGACGAAGAGGATTTTGTGTGTTCTCGATGCGAGGCAAGGACCGTCAGCGCACCAAAGTCATGTGCATTTATAGATGTGGGACAGTCTCTTCCGTCCCTCCGAGGCTGGAAACAGGTGCGAACGGGAGCAGCGATCTCGGAATGCGCGCACGGACGATTTCTCGGTTCGTTGTGGTCAAAGCGGGATCTCAGTTAGGGTTGATTTCACGTCCAGCCCGGCGGGTAAGGTGACCCACAGGTTGAGTGTGTGCCTCGAGCCCGCACAGAGCAGCCGCTTTCGGCTGATCAGCCGCTCATCGACGAAGCCTCAATGGTGGGCCGATGGCCGTGTGCAAATGGACCTGGCAACGCGGGGCGAGACGTGTGCGCGAGCATCCGCGGATGTCGAACGACACTCTGCTCTCTGCTTGAGAAATTGCCGAACGACTATCTCCGCTGCGCGTAAGCAATTGCCGCTTGTCGCCGACTGGCGAAACGTCGAGCAGCTGCAATTTTGTCGGCCAAGCCTCGGCAGCTTCACCTCATCAGTGAGCTGACGACGGTTCGCACGTCCTCATCACGGCGAAAACGGACCGGAGTCTCGCGCTGGCGGCCGTCGGTGACTAGCGAGAGCCGAAAGATGACAAGGGCTCACGAGCCGCATCGGTTCGGCGGCTGCGCCTTTCTGCCCTTGATGAATCTCCACTTCATGCCTCCACCTCAAGCTTCCGGAATCCGATCGAAGATCGCCTGCAGGACGGTGTGCACCCAGCCGGTCTCACATAAGTGGTTTACCGCACTCGTGCGGATGATCCTCGGGACGAGACGCGCTATTCGACGTTCCTAGCTGGCGGAGAGAAACGAGTGCGGCTCGCTGAGTCAATTCGGCCTGTGACGTGTTGATGAATCACTCGCTACAGCGCGCGTCGCGGTCATCAAACGACCCCTTCCATCAGAAGACAATGGGCTGCAGTTGCGAGAACGCATACAACGCTGCGAGCGCAAAGAGATGCAGGAGCCGGCCCCACGTTTCTTCGACCCCGCCGCAGTGTGACGCGCTCCCACAACGCGGGGCTGACTGACCCGGTGTGAATCAGCCTGATGTCGTGTGGCTGCGTAGTGAAGGACCCTGTGAATCACAGCCCGTCTTTGACTAGGCCACCTCGCTGCTCCTCTGCCGATTTCAGTCAGCCCGAGTCCATTCGCTGCGGGCTTCCGCCTGGAAAGACGTCCACCGTCGCCACTGCTCGGCTCAGACCAAGCCTTTGCCCGACCAAGCTCTGAATCTCAGGAATTCTTATAAGAGATCCGTACAGCAGCGTTCCAGTCCGGTCAGCCCCATTGTAAACCCGTCTTACTTTGAGAGATTCCACCAGCACATCTCCTGCCAGCGACCTCATCTCCACCACTGTCGAAGCAGATCCAAATCCAGCCATGTCGAGCGAATCCATCCCGCAAAAGATGCGCGCGGCCACCATCAAGGACTTCAAGAAGGGCTACGAGGTCAAGGACATCGATGTCCCCGCCGACCTGGGTCCCAACGACGTTCTCGTCAAGATCGCCGCCGCCGGCTACTGCCACACCGACTTGCAGGTCATGGACGGCGTGTACGAGTCGCAAGGCGCCAAGCCCGGTCTGGTCGGTTCGCACGAGCCCGTCGGCACGGTAGTCAAAGCAGGCTCGGATGCAGGAAAGTCGGGCATCAAGGTCGGCGACCGTGTAGGCTCGATCAACACCTACGGCTTCTGCGGCAAGTGCGATTCGTGCAAGCAGGGCAAGCAGCTCTGCGACAACATGCCCGGCATGCTCGGCCTCACCCTCAACGGAGGCTTCTCCCAGTACATGAAGGCGGATGCGCGTGTGGTTTCCAAGGTGCCCGAAAGCATTCCTTTCGACCAGGCCGCACCTCTGTTCTGTGCAGGTGCCACTGTGTATGGTGCACTTCTGGCCGTCAAGCCAGAGAAGGGCCAGTGGCTCGCCATGGTCGGCATCGGCGGTCTCGGTCATCTCGGAGTGCAGTACGCCAAGGCCATGGGCTGCAAGGTGATCGCCATCGACAATCGCAAGGAAGGCCTCGAGCTCGCCAACAAGTGCGCTGATCACCTCAAGCCCGACAAGACGTTTTTGATCGACACAGAAGAGGCTAAAAACAAGTGCAGCGAAGAGCTCTCGTCGAGCTTGTACGATACCAACCCGGGCGTCGACCGCGTCGTAATCAACTGCGAAGACCGCGGACTCATCAAATTTAGCCAGCAGTTCCTGCGCAAGGGTGGCCAGCTCGTCGATGTCGGTCTTCCCGCCGACGGACCGTTCGAGCTCGATCCTTTCGCCATGAACTTCAAGGAGCAGACCATCCGCGGCCGCCTCATCTGCACGCCCGAGCAGTGTCAGGACATGCTTGCGCTCCATGCAGACAACGGATGCTCGACTTATATCGAAAAGACGTACAGTGTCGAAGATGCCAACAAGATGGCCGAGCACTACAACTCGAAGCAGCTGCAGGGCCGACTCTGTATGGTATTCTGAAGCACTGCCCAGCGGTCTTGTTCCAATACAATTCCTTTGACAACTGAACCGAGTGGTGGTCAGCCGCGTGTCGCGTCGAGCGAGTCAGTACTCCTGAAAGATTGGAACGAGTTCCAACGGAATCACGAATGATACGAAGACGGCTCGGGACGCTTCGGAATTGACGGACGAGTTCTACAAGAATTGATACGGGAACACGGACGAGGATCGTGCGATCGAAAAGGGGGCGAGAAGGAAAGCCAAAAGAGCGATACACGCACACAGAGACACGGACAGATGGCGTGAGAGACTATATTATCCGAGTCGCTGTGAGACAGGGTATCGAGTTTGGCTCTCGTGTTATATTCAGCCCAGCAGGCTCGAGTACCGAGGTTCGCAATGTTGGGGCAAAGCTTCTCGGAGTTCTGCGACGAAATGCCCTGGCTTGGCTCGAGGGCGGATTCGTACGCATACATTCGCGATGAGAGCTGCAGCCTCAGATAGCCGCGCCGTGTGAGACTGTCCGCGGAGGTCGACAGATAGTCGTGTTGCGGTATCGGGTCCACGCTTCATCTCGAGCTTATCGGCAGTATATTGGCGCTGGCGTGGGAAGAGGAACGCACGTATCCAAGATCATGCTTGCTCTTCGCGAGACTCGAGGCGACGGGGAGCTCGGACCTTGATGAATGCTTTGAGGGAGAGGAGCCACTTTAGCCGCGACGCGAAAAGGCTGGCTGACAGGTGTCGGTCCCTCCATACAAGCGGATAGCGGGGCTGAATTCGATCAAGTCAGAGAGACATTTTCTTGCCAATCTTCTCATGGGTGTCTTCGCACTCAGCCCGCGCAATTGCCAGCTTGCTAAGGAGGCTGGCCGCGGCGATGCAATGAGCAGAGGCAGAGATACTGTAGCTCACGTACACGGGCCGCAGCGTGTGTGGCTCGCTAGGGCAGCCGGGTGGATGCTTGCAGACGGGCTTCCAAAAGCGTTGGTGTGCTTCCGCTCCGGAAAGGGAAGAGCGGCGACGGCGGCGGTGCCTCTTGCGCTAGCGCACCACGAGGCGCGTCTGAGGTCTGGCTGAGTCCAGAATCGGGTTTCAAAAGGCGTTGGCGGCTAACTGTGAAATTGGATTCCAGGGCCAAGCGGGCACCAGGTCACTGTTGGTTGAATATGGCTGGCATCGAAAAAACGCCGCCGTTTTGTCTCACGTCGCGGTGGTGGCTCGACCACGGTCGATCTCAAGCCAAGCAATTTGCAGATCCCTGGAGCGAAAAATCGCCCGACCGTGCTCTGCTGCCGCGTTTTTTTTTAAAAAAATGGATTTAAACTGAATCTTTTCTCAGCTGGCCCTGGCGGCGGCGACTGCGTGTTTCACCACCCGCCAGCCAGTTTCGCATCGGGGTCTGCGTTCGAAATCCCGTGGGCACTCTGCCTGTGCACTGCATAGAGGCGCCTGCCTGGCCTCAGGGCGTGTCGGATTCGGCGAGGCTAGCTGTCAGTTTGAGCATCATCCATCTAGCGCCCAAAAGCCTCGCTGCAGATCGGACCAGCCCGTCGAAAGCGGACACGGTTCGCTGCCAACGTACCACGCTCGCCGCCTCTTCGGCGCTCGAACCTTTTCGCTGCGCCAACTCAACAAATGCTGTTGGTCAAGACACACAAACAAGCAAGATGCACACACTCCGCTCACCCTGTCACTCCCGCGGCCAAGTCGGTCAAGTTGTCCTGGCCATTGCGCGGTACTGAGATGTAGACTGGTGACAAAGCTTGCTGCTAGAGGCGCTAGGACCAGGCGGTGTGACGCGGGCGGCAAGGGGCGTCGAGTTCCGGACTAACTTACTCTTTAAATGCTACCGGATCAAAAAGGTACGAGGCATGTCGGCGATCCTTGAGCGAGACTCATCTGGCAGGGATGCAGACGTGCTTTTCTCCGCCTGCAGACCAGGGCATGTGCCTGACGGCGCTGTAAACTACGCCAAGCCACTCTCGCTCTCGCGCCGTTTGCCTCGTCTCCGCCAAAAGCCACTTCTGCCACGTCTTGCCTGAAACAGCCCATCCACAGTTTCCGAGACAGACACGATCTCGACTTGGACAGCCTGTCACCTCCAACAACAGGAACAGACGCTGCCCTTTTCGTTCCTCCTCTTCTCCCCTACATTAGACGTCGGCGTTCAAAGTCCGCACATGTGCGCATAAGCTTAGCGCCGCCCACCATGCTCAGCCGCCATCTCGGCAACTCACACCCTGAGACCTTGGCTATGCGCCTGTCAAGCCATTGATCACCGACGGTGCCCTAAGACACCAAGGCGAATTGCCTCCCCCTATCCTTCGCCCATCAAGCGCCCTGGCGCCCAGCGAGGGTTTCAAGGTGCGCCGCTCCCAGAAACCTCGACGCTGATCATGTTTTCGCTCCTCTCCCTGCGCTCTACAAATGCTCACCTTCAGGCTGTTCGATATATATGTAGGTCTCCATACTCCGCCCACCCCCTCCTACTGTTCCATCTTCTCAACCCTTACCATCGCCTTGACCTCGCTCACGCCGACCCTGCGCTCCTCTTGAAGAGCTGGCATCTCTGGAGCATCCGCCGCACAGGTCGTTCTTCTCAGCACACTACCACCGCCATCGTGATCCCCTGCTGGACAGGTGTTCAATCGTCGACCACAACAACTCAATCATCACAATGCAGGCCCCTAAGCAGATCGACACCGGCTTCGGCTCCTGCCTTGCACCCATCGACCTCGAGGCCGCTCACCTGGCTGCTGAGCGCCTCCACCACCTTTGCATCAACCCTCCGCTCCCGCAGTATCCTGCTGGATCTTCGCACGGCGATGACTTCCACCGCACCAATTTCACCATGCCCATCGCATACCCGCGTGCCACCTACTCTGCACCCCTTGCCGGTGGCGAGTCGCTCTCGGAGCTGCTCCCGGGCACGCACGAGGTGCTCTCACAAAATGCTCGCGCCGTCGACGCCTGCCATTTCGTCCCCGTCAAGGTGGAGCCCACTCCAGGCCTCTACACTCCCTTTGCACGCGGAGGAACCGACCCTAAGCAGCTGCGTAAGCGCCGCGTGCTTGTCGTCGAGCGCCTCATCCCGAAGCGCGCACCCAAGAATCCGGATGCCAAGATCCTCATCCTCACACATGGCCTTGGCTTCTCCAAGGAGTGCTATATCCCCATAATCGACGAGCTCTTGCGAACCAAGCCCAACGAGATCGAGGAGATTTGGATGATTGACACTCTCGGCCACGGCATGTCGGCCGTGATCAACCGACAGCTGGACGACCCCAGCCCACTTGAATTCAGCGATCGCTGCATCGATGGCAACGATCTCGCTCGTGACATCCTGCAGTTCATCTGCTGCTTTATGCCATCGACGCCTACCACCACGCCTGTCGAGCCCTCGCGCACGCTCGACTTCCACCTACCACGCTTGCCGCGCAAGAAGCTGGTGGGTATCGGCCACTCTTTCGGAGGCTCTGCGCTGATGCAGGCCTCCTACCACTTTCCGGACCTCTTTGACTCGGTTTCGCTTCTCGAGAGTATTCTGTCAACTTTCGAGTCGGCGGATCGCATCCACGCTGTACCTCTGGCTAGGTATACGCTGCTCAAGAAGGACCGTTGGGAGTCGCGCGAAGAGGCCCGCCAGGAGGCGGACAGCGACAAGCACATGAGGCTCTGGCATCCGTCGACGCGAGATGCATTCGCAGCAGGAATGCTCACCGAGTCGCTCACTCACCCTGGCACCGTCGAACGCAGCGCCGACAAGGTGGCCGAAGCGCTCTCGATCCGTGGCAACCGTCCCGGGATGCAGCTGTCGCAATACCTTCACTGCCTGCCCGCTCGCCTGCCGGTTCTGTTCGTATCGGCGCACAAGCCGCTGCTGCTTCCGCTCGAGGAGATCTTCCACACGGCACAGGGTATCCCCAACTTGCACTTTGAGGTCATGACTGGCACCCACAACCTTCCCCACGAGCGACCCATCGAGATCGCTCACCGCATCATCCGCTTTTGGCGCGAGACCGACGTCTCGATGCCCTTCTTCCGCGAAAGCCGTCTGTAGTGGGCTACCTCGTCGTCCCTCTCCTTCACCATCATGTCACCGTCACGGTCCCCACTCGCTTGCAGCGCCTGCAAGCTCCAATCCCTCCTTTGGACAATCACTCTCTTTTCCCTGGATCACCCGGTCACCGTTGTGTATCGATAGATTTACACTCATTGGGCATTATTATGTACATTGTTCCTTTCATGGCTTTCCCTGGCTGTATTCTGAAGGTACATTGCGTCGAGATCAAGCATCGAACGAGTTGCTCGTGAGCAAGAGGTTTGTATGGGTGTGTTGACGGTCAGGGTCTTGAATCCGCACAAATGTTCAAAATATTCAACCATGAAAAGGATCGGAAATTCGTTATTCGGCGTACGTGCAACGCGATTCCGCTTTCGGCAATTCGCGCTGCAGATTCCGCGGGAGTCTCGAGCCGGCCTCCACCTTCCGGTGCGGGTGTTGAGTACCTGAAGGGCGGCGACGGGACCATCTGCTAACTAATCGGAGCCGGGTGTGTATCGCCCCTTGATGATCGACCAACAAGACGACGACGGCAGGCGCGCTCTCATCCATTGTTTCATCCGTTGCTTCATCATTTGCGGGTTTATTTGTTCTCTGTTTCTCGGACCGTCCGCTTGCTCTCACGACCCGGCTCTCTCTCAGCAAGAAGAGGAGCGCGCTTTCGACTAGGACAAAGGCTAACGACTCATCATGGCGGTGACAGCTCGGCGTCTATCAGCCTTTGCATGGCATGTCGTCGCGCTGTCCTCGTGCACCTATGGCTTCAAGTCTCTCGAAGTTTTGCCCGAGCTGCTCGGTGTCAGCATGGAGGAAGAATACGGAGGTATGCATGAGAGCCCGCACCTTTTGCGATTCTGATAGCACGGGGCGCTAGATGGAGAGGTACTGACCTCCAAGATGTTCCTGATCTTTCACTTTTAAGGTTTCATGCAATTCCTGACCATGTGTGGTCTCACTGCTACGGCAATCACAATGGTCTTGGCCACCATCCAGGACATTGTCGGAACACCAGAAGGTACGTCTTGACGATGAGCTTCGAGCCTCGAGAATGAGACCCTGCTGAGGGATCTCACTGACCATACCCTTTCTTGGCATCGTCGCAGCGCTGAGCTGGATCAAGGACCTCGCCATGGCCGCCTCACTGCCGACCGAGACGATGATCACCATCTTGTACTGGTCGATTGTGGTGATCAACAAGGATCTCCTGATGCAGCCCAAGAAGGTGATGGACCCGCACAACCCTGGACAGGTGCTGCGCGAAGAGACGGTGTCGGTGCCGTTCTCGATCGATGCAAGCTTGCACGCCTTTCCTGGCGTATTCTTGCTGGTCGACTTTTTCTTGTTCAGCCGACCGCTGCCCAAGTCCATCCCGATCGTTGCCGTGGCGGCAGCGGTTACCGTCAGCTATGCGTGAGTAGGAGGCCCAGATCGAGGAGCTTGTCGGATGCTGAAGAGCTACTGACCAATCAAACTCGCTCGATACGTCATCCTCTGTGCCTTCCATCAGTCTGTGGGCAGGAAAGTGTGCCGAGATGAATGGCCACTATCCGTACCCCTTGCTGGACGTTCTCAGTGATGCGCAGCGCTTCGCTTTCTACAGTGTCGCTGGACTCGCAGCCTGCGGAACGGGCGCCGCGGTCGTTCGACTTCAAGCTCGCTTCAAGGATCGAAGTGGTAGCAAGCCGAAGCGCCAGTAGAAGCTCCATGCCCTGTCTGCTTCAAGTTCAACGAAGCTCTAGCCCGCCCATGTGGTCGAGCTGACATTGCCGATGCACGACGCCCCTTTGGCTTTCATGTAAGCGTATGAGCATGTTCATCTGAACCTCAATATAAGGATCAGAGCCGGCGGAGTGGCTTGGGCGTGACCAAGGCTGCTAGTGCGAGGAGAAGGTCCAAATCGGCGCCCCGATCTGGCCTCGCGTTATCAGCTGAAAGACGGGCGACGAGAAGCATGCAGGTGCATGCATGCATGCCACCTGCGTCCAGCGAAAAAAGAAAGTTGGCAGGCAGCAGCCGCGAAACTGTCGGTCAAGTCGAAGAATTTCGGTCAAGTCGGGTCAGGCCGAAGATTCGACTCGGCGGCGGTGAGGCTTCTCCAACGGCGTGTTCTCTTGCATGCCCACGACGGAGCTGCCGTTTGCCGGCGCACCTGCCTCCGAGCCAATCTACGTGGACGCTGCAGCTTGGGCTTGAGCGGCGATGCAGGCTTTGGCAAGCGCCGAGCTCGTGTGATGTGGGCTCCCCTTCGAGCATTAGCGAATACGCCATCCCCAGGCCAAATTGCACGTAGACGCGCCGAGATGGCGTGCTTCCGGCCACAGACCCTCTCCACATTTTAGACTTGAGCAGCAGAGCCCATTTCACGTTCACGCTACAGGATGCTGGGGCCTGCATGAATCCCATCCTCCGCAACACGCAGCAAAGCAGCAAGCATGCATGTCCCACCGCTGCCGCCGCCGCCGTCTTCCAGTCAATCCCAGCCGGCTGACCGAGCTGATGGGGTTGGACGCATGACTTGAATTGGACCCACCCCGCTCCTGTGTTGGCTCTCCACCACCTCCGTCATATATCTAGCCCGTGTGTGGGCTATACATCTTTGCTCTCTCCACCGACAACCTAGGACTGTTCATCCACGCCAGAGCTAGAGCATCATGCCGGTACAAGACTCGCACGCCTTTGGCGGCGCTGGCTATTCGAATGGTCACGCGAACGGACATGCGAACGGCGCCAACGGTCACGCCGTCAACGGGCATGCAAACGGAGCTTACACCCAGGCCGCCGCCTCGACGTCCACAGGCAGGCCCAATATCCTTTTCGTCATGGCCGATCAGCTCGCGGCTCCCCAGCTGCGCATGTACAATGAAAACTCGCAGATCCTCACGCCCAATCTCGACCGCCTCGCTCGCGACGCAGTCGTGCTCGACTCGGCCTACTGCAACTCGCCCCTATGCGCCCCTTCGCGCATGGCTCTCGTCACCGGTCAGCTCCCATCCAAGATCGGCTCGTACGACAATGCCGCCTCCATCAGCTCGGACCTCCCCACCTACGCCCACTACCTCCGCTCCGCCGGATACGAGACCGTCCTTGCCGGCAAGATGCACTTTATCGGCGATCAGCTCCACGGCTTTGAGAAGCGCCTCACCGCCGACATCTATCCCGGCGACTACGGATGGGCTGTCAACTGGGACGAGCCCGACCGAAGGCTCGAGTGGTACCACAACGCCTCCAGCATCCTCCAGGCTGGTCCCTGCGTCCGTTCAAACCAGATGGACTACGACGAAGAGGTCCTCTACAAGTCGAACCAGTATCTCTTCGATTACGCCCGCCGTAGCGGCGGCGCAAGCTCGGCACGTCCATTTGCGCTGACGGTCAGCTTCACCCACCCACACGACCCGTACACCATCGAGGAAGAGTTCTGGAATCTGTACGAAGGCGTCGATATCAACATGCCCGAAGTCGAGATCCACCCAGACAGACAGGACCCGCACTCGAAGCGCCTCCGCCACGTTTGCGACCTCGACGGCAGGCAATTCACCCCAGAGCAGATCAAGCGAGCCAAGCGCGCTTACTACGGCTCCGTCTCATACGTCGACGCAAAGGTCGGCCAGCTGCTAGCCACGCTCGACAAGTGCGGCCTGCGCGACAACACCATCATCGTCTTTAGCGGAGACCACGGAGACATGCTGGGCGAGCGTTCGCTCTGGTACAAGATGAGCTACTTTGAGAGCTCGGTCCGTGTGCCGCTCCTCTTCAACTATCCCAAGATGTTTTCGCCCCGCCGTGTCAAGGCCAACGTCTCCACCATGGACCTCCTGCCGACCTTTTGCGACATTGTCGGCATCCCGCTCCAACAGCAGCTGCCCCTCGACGGCATCAGCATGCTCCCGCATCTGCTCGGACGCACGGGTCACGACACCGTCATCGCCGAATACATGGGAGAGGGGACCGTGGCGCCACTGTGCATGATTCGACGTGGTCCTTGGAAGTACATCACATGCCCCGCCGACCCTCCGCAGCTCTTCAATCTGGCTCATGATCCCAAGGAACTGGTCAATCTGGCCTCCGATCGCGATGCGCTCGACGAAGCGACCCGAAAGGTACTCGACGACTTTGAGCTCGAGGCGCTCAAGCGCTGGGATATGGCAAAGATCACCGAAGACGTCCTCTTAGTCCAGCGACGCAGGCGCTTCGTCTTCTCCAGCCTCAAGCAGGGCGCATGGACCTCTTGGGACTATCAGGTCCCCAACGACACTCAGAACATGTACATCCGCTCTCACATGGATCTGGATGATCTCGAGCGCATGGCGCGCTATCCGCCGGTTGACGAGTACGGCAACGTCATCTCCGCCTCCGACTTTGTTGGCCCTCCGTCCTTCACAAAGGGTCAACAAGTTTGATTCACCGCGTCCGCACAAGCAATCATAACTTCACGAATACCCCACGCGGCATCTGCAATGGATGTTTTGACATTCTGCGAGAATCAATCCGTATCTGAGTCCTGGTCCTGGCAATACGTCGACGAGTAGAACGCGTTCCAATTCGAGCGCAACTGCTGCGCAGCCGCCTCTAGGCTGAGACCGTGCAAGTCGGCGAAGTATCGACTCGCTTGCAGCAGGCACGCAGGGATGTTTCTCACCGTATGGTGGTCGCTCTCCATGAGGGCACGGGTGCGATCCACACCGGCCAGGCACTCCTTCTGCAGGATCTGCTTTCGATTGATTGTCGACGAAAAGCCGACGTAGACGTTGGCATGCTTTTTAGCGATCGACTTGACCACGTTGGTATCCATGGTGCAAGAGTGCAGCGATAGCCGGATGGCACCAAACGAGGCCAGATCGGTGTTGCGCAGGGACGAGAGCAGGTCGACGGTCAAGCCCGCGGCCTGGACCGAATGCAGCGAGATGTTGCGCTTGAAGCGCAGCGCGACCTCGATCTGGGCACGCAGGATCGACATCTGATGGGCTTGCGGAGTCTTGAGCCTCGTCAACCTTGGTTGATCTGCCTTGTCCTCGGCTGTCTTCTGTGGATCGTAGTTCCAGGCTCTCCGCGGTATGCGAAAGGCACGGTCGATGCCCACCTCGCCCAGAAGCGCATTAGGGAAGCGCTCAAAGTTGCCTTCGATTTCGTCGCAGACGTCCCTCAACGAGATCGGATCCGGTAGATGATCCCACATCGAGTCAAGCTCGATTCTGAGATCCCCGCGGTCGTCGACTTGGCCGTCGCTCAACCCAAACAGTTGATAGTAGTGGTCTCGCTTGCTTGGAGCAGGATCCGAGAGGGAGATCTGATGCGCAAACCACGGATGCCAGCCGAAGCACGGAACCACCTTCAAGGGGTGCCGTGAGGCGAGCTCGGCGACAAGTTTCTGGTCGCGTGCATTTGTCGACATACAGACAAGCTTGCCGACGGCAGAATCTTGGATCCGCCTCGAGAGCTCGTCGAGATTGGCTTCGGTGTACGCCGCGGGATCGTCCGTAGGGTGGCAGTGCGAATCGACAAAGAGCTCTGCAAGCGCCTCCGGCGGCTCTTCCACCGTCAGATCGGCCTGCATCGAAGTTTCTGAGCCGCCGGCGCACATGTTCGTCTTGTCGTGCTAGGACTGGGTGCTAAAGGCTGGACGCCATAGATGGCGGTCGCGGGAATGCCTTCGGCCACCTGCAAAACGCACGGCTTTATGCCTCCACCTTACTTTCCGAGCGCAACCGCATTTTCCGAGTTCCGAATCGAGCCAGAAAGAGGCTGGCTCGACCACTCCGTACGCTCTCTCTCAACCCCATCAATCCGCTTGCGACTGCTCTCAATAACCCAACCGGGCGACGAGCCCCTAATGCACTTTGACGCAAGCAATGCGACGCCAAGGCTGATGACAACATCGACTTGTTGCTCTACAAATGCGTAGGACTGACATGGAAGAAGCGTCTATTCTCTAGGCTAGAACTGCCGCCCACCGATCGACATCGCAGCATCTAAGGCATGGCTTGGCAAATGTCTTGCTAACAGCTCACCACACTAAGCCAGAAGAGCCGGGTCTACGTAGACAAGCTCGTTGCGCCAGGCTGGCAGCTCCTCCGTGGGAAAGTATCCGTCCCGGCAGGTGTCAAAGTGTACTCGGGGCATCGAGTCAAAGTAGGCATCCCAGCGGGTCTGCAGTGCGCTGCTCAGATCTTGCACCTGTCCTTCGGGGAAGAGGTTGTACCACAAGCGCCGACAGAGACTGCCGTGGCACGTCTTGAGATTGAGGAGAAGGGCATCCATGCGCGATGCAATCCTTTCGGCGTCGCTGCTCGTGCTGTTGAGGCTGCTGTAGAAAGCCAGCTGCCCGACAAGATTGTTCATCTGGTCCGAGTCCTTGGCCATGTTGTAGAGCTCTCGCTCTCCAGTACACCAGACGGTGTAGGAAAGGTCGTGCTCGCCGTCCTTGACGCGAAGGGTTCTGTACTTTAAGATGACCGGACCTTCGCCCGAGTACCTGCCCTCGCCGTCCGTCTGCGAGACCCAGAACTCGCTCAGGTGATGCGTGGCGGTACCGGACTTGCGGAAGCTGGTCTTGTCCTCCGCCCAGGCCATGACGCGGCCATCAAGATCGTAGCTCGGCTGCGCTTGGGCCTTTTCCACAATGCTGGCCGTCAGATCGATGTTGCTGTAAACGGCGTCTTGCTTGCTGCCGCCGTTGATGC